TCATTTCATATGGTTGACTCAAAATGCTTGCACGCAAGTAATTGTCGCATTGTTTATCTTAATTTGTTATCAATCGCTAGTTATAATGTTTCTCAAGACATTAATTCAGTTATATTATAGAATGCCCATAATATCCCACAAAACTTACTAAAAATAATCAGACAGAAATACACAACAGATACTTCAAAATAAACCAATACTCGTGGTCATTTTCGCCATCCTCAGAGATCTTCCTCCTCATAAGGCGTAATATCTGGTGAGGTCTTAGGGTTACTGCGCAGCTGAGCACCTGACCAGTTCCCTCCACATATCTAGGTTTAAAGCCGAAGAGTTATTAATTCATCAAATACGTGATGTGGCTTCCCTCTGTCTTTTCTACAAATATTTTCATGGCAACTACTCTGACGAGCTACTTTCACTGGTAATCCAAGTGAATGAATTTAAGCAAGCTACTAGGTTGGCATCTCGGTCCCACCATTTCACTGTCGATACAGTTAAAAGTAACCGTCTCTACTACTCCAAAATGTTCATCTCTCACACTTCTCGACAGTGGAACTATCTTCCGCCTACTTGCTTCCCTGATGGCTATAATCTTCAAATATTCAAATGTAAGGTCAATCGACATTTTCTGATGCCTTGATCCTGATCCCCGTTCTTCTTTATATCCTTTCCTCAAACAATGTCTTTACTCTTGCTCTCACTCTCTGTAACCCCTTGCGTACTAGTGCTTGGGGTGAAATGCTTAAAAAAAGAAGACCTAGTGGCGCGTATATTGGTTGTTTTGACCCTCCAGGTCAAAACACAACCAATATCCTCCAACTTGAAGGCTCGACATGGTCACGTACACGTGGCCTTTTATTCGATCAATGGAAACCTCTGCACTGACCGTTGGTTTCAGTTTAGAAAGCCCTCTATCCATCGATGACTTGTCATCTTTACACTGGCTGTAGTCATGGGGTCTAATCTCCCCCATTGTGCTTAATGGACGTTGATCCTACATTCGGTTATGTTTTAATCAAGTTAATTCTCTAGCCGCCCTCCCCACCAGAAAAGCTTGGTGGGGAAACTGGTTTAGTCACTGTTTACCCAACAATGCAACATGTACTACTAGGTTATATGGTACGAGTAGCAATCGTAGAGAACCCTGATATTAAAAAATTGTATACTTTAATTTTGACCGCCATGATGTAGCAGATCCATGGATTCAATAGATCTTTTTCGCGAAAATTTTCTTGTGCCCTATTTAGAATCAATATTTTTTTATGATATATCTTTTAATTGTTGTACTGGCAATATCACTAAACATTTTACGATTGTTTTATTTAAATTTCTGATGACTCTTAATTCTTAAGTTAATCATTGAATACGCTCCTTGCGAGTTCCACAAATATAAAAGACCCGTGGAAAATACCCGTAAAAAATAGCCTGATTGCATCGTTGACTATCTGAGCTTAACAACTTTAACCAAATATTACAATAACAATCATAAATATGAATGCAGGTAAATATTTAAAGAAGTAAGAGGGTACAAATGAAAAGATTCAAAATGGTCAAAGGGTTCAATTTCACAGAAAAATCCTGACACCTGGTGGTAGAACCTGTATGTGCAAATATTTAACCTCCAAACTGGGGTCAAACACTTAATCAGTTATGTACCATGTTTGCCTTCAGTATGTCATGTGTCTGTTAAATTATCCAAACCTACCTTCCTCATTTTGTTTCCCGAAAATCTCAGCTGTCTTTCTTATTGAATCAGTCAGTTATGTGCCATACGTGATACACGCTTAGGTGATCATGTATCTTTCGTTACATGACTGTCGAGGCAGATTTTTTTCTAGCAGTAGGTTGCCATTTCTTTCTGCAGTAGACCAGTTGCCATCCAAGTCTACTGAACCCGGTCTGTCCTGCTATTTACCCATGGGGAAGGATTCATACCTTTCCCAAGGGTATTAGCACGTAAGTAAATGTAATGGATTTGACTGGAATTCGTTATCCTCAATCCGAGCCGCTATCCATTACTCTACAGTGCCACCCTGTCAAACACTATGAATGTTTTGAAAATACATTTTAATAGTGAAAATAACAGTAATGTATTTTCATAGTAAAAAAAGAAAGTTAACTGCAATACATTTTTGTAAAGAAGTTACTAATGATCCCAAGAAAATTAAATTTCGGTAGGAAATGACCCATAAGGATGTTGATATGCCATTAAACGAACAAATAATTTTACTGGCGCAGACGGAAAACGCGTGAATTATTTTCTTTTTTGTTATGAACGCTTTTTTTTCTAACTTAAATCAAACAGCATCGGTGATATATTTATTTCGTCTGTCTCTTCTGGAAAACAAAGCGGAATGTTTCGTTATTTATATGAGGTAATTGCAGAGCGTAATGCACGTGTTAGCTAACTTATTAAAATCAAGTAGGAACAATGGCACGTGGAAATAGAACAATTTCCCCCGGTGAACGAAATAAAAAGTTCAGTTCGAAATTCCAGTCACCTGAAGAAGGTCGTTGCGTACAACGACCGAAACGTCGCGAATATGGCAACGAAGATGAGGAGACTAGTCCGAACAATGTAAATAGTGTAAATAATTACAATACCTCATCGTAGAAATATAGACAGATAAAACTATATTTTTTTTAATCTTGGGGCTTCGCAGTAGGGTAATGGTTAACAAGTTATTCAATAAGACATTTGCTAGTGCGTAGTAAGATTAATCCTCCTTATGGCCTTGAGCTAAAATAAGGTTAAGAAATATCTACATGTTTGATAATATTGATGGTTCCAGAAAAAAGAAGCATTTAAACAAGATTAAAAAAAAAAAAAATTTATTTTAATAATTTTGAACTTTTTCCTATCTAGTAATGTGTTGAATATGTTTCTGTCTCTTAGAATTTTGTTTTTATTAAATTTTCGCAATCTATTTTTTCTTTTTGAATACCCCCCTCTCTCTCTCTCCCTCTCTCTCTCTCTCTCCCTCTCTCTCTCTCTCTCTCTATATATATATATATATATATATATATATATATATATATATATATATATATGCAGTATAACATATATTTATGTATCTTTTTGAACAAGTTGCACTGAATAAATTTTACAAGAATAATAAAATCACTGTTAATTCTAAGGCTATTTTTAATTTTCAGGAAGAAGCTCTCCTCTCGTATCGATGCATTGAAAGCACGCTGGTTTTTATTTACCTTGATTTGATGGGAATCCTTTAAAGCAGGGGTCTCAAACACGCAGCCCGTGGGCCAAATGCGGACCGCGAACTATATTTTAGCGGCCCACGAGGAAGCATTACTGCAACCAATATTTTCCTCAAAATTTAATGTTTAATAAAGACACCCTTCGCGGCTTCCATACTTTTACAGAAGTAGTATTGAGCTAGACCTACCTAGCAAGTGCCAATAAACAATCAATTAATTTTCAGATCAGGGAGTACTGTTCTAGATCCAGGGAAGGGAAGATAACTTGATTCTGCTGCTGAAGAACGTGTCCCGCATCAGTTAATGCACGACAATCGCATTTTTACAATCGATGAATCTTTCTAAAACTTATGCATGAAATTTGCCTTTTTTTTTTAAAAAAACAAAGAAGATATACTTATGATATAATGGAATATGCATACACATATGTTCCCCTCACTAGAATATGATTGGCTGGTGTCCGTCATAAATACAGACGGACGAGTAGGTACGACGACACCCATTGGACTACGCCATTGGCTATTCTATTGGTATACACCTATTACCTGCGACTACGACGAGTACCAGTCGATTACTGCTACCGTGTACTACTTGGTTACAGTAGCCAAACCCACTTAGCTACTTCGATCAAATATATCCCTTTCCGGGACATATCAACTTATTAAACACAAACGACTGGAATACGTGCGAAACTTTGCCTAAATCTTATAAAACTGTTGTCATTTCAACTTTGCTATGTGATTACGAAACCCGAACTCTATATCATCGCGGCATCCGAAAATTAGAACGTTTTCACCAGCAAAAGTTTCATTCAATTTCGAACATCAAATGAAAATACTATGTGGCCAAGAATAAAGTATCGAATCGCTGATCATTAAACACCGTCTTCGATGGTCAGGGCGTGTAGTAAGAATGGAAGATTCAAGGTTTCCACGTCAAGTTTTAATCAGTGAGCTCACTTCAGGGAAAAATACAGGGTTATCATCAAAGATACAAGGACCAACTCAAAACAATAATGAAAGTCAGTGAACTGGCATAAATCGTTTGAAACACAAGCCCGGGACGATACCAACTAGCAGTGTTTTATTCCCATCGCAACCAAAATCTTCTAAGCAACCAGAAGAGAAAAGGATGATGTCAAACGACAGTAGATAAAGGCTCCACAAAATTGGCCTCATCCTCCACCAACATTACCATGCAGTCAATGCCATCGGCTCTTCCAGGCGAGAATTGGTCTAATTAGTCATCAACGCCACCGTCAAAAAGAAAGCAAACAGCAAAAAAGAATTTAAATTCTTGGGTCCGACGCTCGTCTCTTGATATATATTCTCCCTCTCTGATTTCTCTATCCGTCATTTTCCCAATTCCTTTAGCTCAAAAATAGCAAACTGATTCAATTTAGCTTTGTGGGTCTATCGAATCTTTTTTGGAAACATGTCCCTAAAGGATACTGCTGACACCATGAAACTGTCCACGGGGTTGGGCAGTCAATGTCCTCACCATTGGTAATGCCTTGGCGACGGGCCTGCCTTGGGCCTGATTGCACTTCTCCTTCAGTACGTGTTCTCGAGTTAGAGATTCCTGCTTTAAAGCTTACAAAAATGAATAGAAGGCAATGATATTTTTGTTATTTTTTATCATTGGTGCAAACTTAAAAGGTTTTTTTTATTATTATTATTTGGTTACTCAATGTCTAACATTTTATCTAAAGCCATAGCGAATCAAGAAGACGAGCAATCGAAAGAATAAAGTAATCAAAATGATGAAGAGAACCAACTTACAGTCAAATGCAGCAAAAAGATGTGAGTTGATGACGGACGGGTGAGGCTTCTCCTGAAAATATATTCTCGACTCTCGTTGGAAGCTGGACGGTTGATAATCGCCTGAATGTAAGGATATTTCTGTATAAGTCACGGGAAGACAAACATTCATTTGAGGGTCGGGAAAATGAAAGAAAGGCCGAATGTAGTTGCTTAATAACAGATATATACATCTCTTTCTATGTAGGTTACTTATGTATGAACGTTAGAATTATTTGAACGTACGTCAACGAAGAAAAAAGAACAGACCGCTACGGAAAGTCCGAATGAGCAGATCAGCGAAATGTTTATTAATTCTTTTTTTTTAATTAAGAAAAACACTGAAGACAATTATGCTGTAAAGAAATAGTTAAAGAAATATTCTAGTAGAACACTGTTATAGTGTAATGATTACGATCCGCGTCGAGTGTCCTATATGTGTGGCCTTGAGTCAAAACAAAGTTAAGTTTAATAAAAGTATAGGGAAAACGTGAAAATAGGATGAGATTTTATTGCCTATAATTGTCAAAACCTTTACTTTGAACAGGTCAAAGGTCAAGTTATTAGTTTGTTTGAACTTTTGAGTATATTTATATGGGTGTGTGTAGATATGTTGCACTCTTTTTTCCTTTCTCATCAATTCATATGCACGCACACACACACACACACACACACACACACACACACACTATATCTCTCAAATTCCTTTTGCCCTCTTCCTCTCTATGTCTTTCTGTCTCTTTATCACCCATATGCCAGAAGAGTTATTATTAAATACCAAAAGGCATTAGAAAGAATTATATAAAGCTAATGCTAGGTGGCGCTACTGTACCATGACGTCATGGCAATACCCAGACCTCTATAAGTTGAGCTCTGGTATCTGGTGAGTCAGTGTGAACACTGGAATGATCTGCTTAGGAGAAGACGTGGGGAATTATCGGAGTTTAAACAAGAAAATGGACTGGATATCCATTTTTTTTTAAATTTTGGGGACATTTGCCATCCTTCGATCCATGGTGTAGCGTGCGAGCCGGGAATATCGAACAGGCGTTACTTCCCACCGTTGACACACACAAGGGCCGACCACGGGTCTGTAATGTTCTGGATAGGATTGTTTGCAGTAACAGGTAAGCGACACTGGCTCAAATCGCAACCACATTCAAAGCAGGATGCACCGGACTCATATCCAATAGATCAGATCAACGTTCTTCAAATTCTATGAAATACTGGAACAGAGGAACCACCTGAATGATCCTGTTAAATCTACGATACCGGACACAACGCATCATCTAAGCTCATGGCGTCGCTAATTGGAATCTGGAGAATTGGAAATGGTTCCATTTGTTTGAGGATTATGGCAGAATTTGGATGTGGCACAGAATGATACTATGCGAGACTATTGGTAAAAAGGCACTGGGCAAGCTAGCGTTGTTTAGTTAATTGTTTGTGGTGTATTAACGTGGTATGTGTTGGATACACTGGTTCACGTAAACATATCAGTGACCGGTGACTGCCACATTGTACTGATTCGTAACCATTCCCACCAGCTCATAGACCTCATGTACGCCTAAAACAACCGTGTCTTCGGCTCAAGTTGAACAAACTTTGAGGAATATTCTGGGGGTGTCTGACGAAATAGGCAGTCACGACGATCACCTATCATTTATGGATCCTGATGTCTGTTCTCATGAGAAATCCTGGATCTATATCAGGGATCTGTCGAGATCTATCAAGACGAAATGGCTCAGAGGTCTTTCCAATTTTTTTCGACCACTTGTGGAATTGATGCCACATCGAGTTACTGCGCTTCTCAGCGATAAGAGACCATCATACGCCTATCATAGACTTTTATAGGCACAAACACTATCACACTCCCATATGCACACACTCTTTCAGACTCTCACAGACTATCTCTATGACACTCAATGCATTTACACAATTACACATTCCCCCCCCCCTCTCTCTCTCTCTCTCTCACCCTCCAAAATGTACACACTCTATCATGATTTTACATTCCATATGCACACATGCTCTAGCACTCACACTCCAAATACATACACTAATGCACTCCCACTCTCTCTCTCTCTCTCTTACACATATACACTCCTTGCTTTTCACAATCCCATACGAAGACACTCTCTTTCGCACACTCTCATATGCACACATCCTCTCACACTAATATAATCGTATTTTACACATATACACGCACACACTCTGATACTGGCATACGTAGTCTCTCTTATATTTCCATGTGTAAAAAAAAACTCACTCTCACTTTTTCATTTTCTATCTATCTATCTATCTATCTATCTATCTATCTATCTATCACATACACACTCTCTATTTCTCTTTCGATCTCAGAAAGATAAAATTTAAAACTGAAATTGAGACATGTAAACAATCAGAAAATTCATCTAAAATAGACATAATTATTGTCTGCCTATCTGATCAGAAGGATTTTCAAATTAACCATTTCCTATTTTGAATTAATCTGATTTTGCCTGCATAACTTTTGACAGCACAAGTGCCAAACATCGAATACAATCTAGAGAGAAAGACAAAAACGAGACGGAATTGAATCCCTTTTCAAAGTCTTGGTCGATCTCATTGATGTTCTATTTTGTTGACATTTTGCTTCGAACTCAAATTCTAAGACTTCCAAATCCAAGGCCAATGAGCAATAAATAAATGAAAAATTATGATTGCTAGGTTTTTTCACAGATCAGATTAGATTTTTGCAGCACAAATTTTAACATTTGCAACAATGAAGGACTAAGTAAAACAATCAAGTTAATAACAATCACCCAAACAGAAGAATGAAAAGGGAATAAAGCCACTGGGATTCATATGACAGTTTAAACAGCAAATTTGAAACATCATAAAAAATCTTCAATATTTCAATTTTAAAAATGCAAATAAAAAAGAACCTATTATAGATTAGCAATCTGTGAATCAGAGGAGGCACGGTGGCGTAATGGATAGCGGCTTGGATTGAGGAATCGGGGAGCCGAGTTCGAATTCCAGTTGAATTCATTACATTCACTTACTAATATCCTTGGGAAAGGTATGAATCCTCTTCTTCTCCACCTATATGTGTGGCCTTGAATCAAAACAAAGTTAAGTTTAATAAAAGTATAGGGAAAACGTGAAAATAGGGTGAGGTTTCATTGCTCACATGAGAATTTGTCAAAATCTTTACTTGTCAAAGGTAAGGTTATTGGTTTGTTTGAATAGGTTCTATAGCCTTGCATGGCCACTGGTCTACCGCGGGAAAAACATCTGCCTCGTCAGTCATGTATCAAAAGATACATCATCGCCTAAGCGTGTATCAGGCATGACACATAACTGACTGACTGTATCAGAAGCATGCTGCACTGGTGAGATAAGTGGTTCCCCAATCTTTGTTCTTTTAAGCATGCACTTTTTCAGCTAGATGTAAGAAAGTGTATATATATATATATATATATATATATATATATATATATATATATATATATATATATATATATATATATATATATATATATATATATATATATATATATATATATTCTGACTATTGTCCTTCTTTGTCGCGATATTTATTAAAACGTTTCGGCCGTTGTACGCTCCAGCCTTCTTCAGGTGGTTGGAATGTCGAACTGAACCCTTTATTTCGCTCACCGGGGTAGACTGTTCTAGTTCCACGTGCCATGTTTAATGGATATCAGTTATCTCCTGTTAATTTTAATCCCAAGGACACATTTCATAGTGGATAAAACCGTTGGTTAGATCAAGTGACAGGACCCAAAGAGTGTGAGTTCAAAACCCGGTTAAGGAAGTGGAGAACTTTCAGAGGGAAAATATATATAGGTGGGGGAGATGTTATAGAGAGAAAAGTGTGTATATTAAAAAGAAAAGGCAAACCGCAAACGTTTTTGGTTGTAATGTGGATTTAAAAAAAAAAATATTATGCTTTATTTTCCATAATTTTGCTACACGTGTTTCCGATCCCTCGACCTTCATCAGGCAAAGAGTGGATATTTCCACATATTATTAAAAGGAATTAATTTTTATTATGTTTTGCGATGTTAAATATTCTGGATATTAGGCATTCTCTTTTTTTGTGTGCGTTAGTGACCCAAATAGTCCAAGTAATAAATAGTCCAAGTAATAAATCCAAGTGGATCCTAGTAATAAATCCAAGTGGATCCTAGTAATAAATCCAAGTGGATCCTAGTAATATCAAATATTAAAACTGATCCACAAAAAGAGCTCAATTTACTTATTATAACAGAGCATATAAATTACACAAAAAATCCAAAATTATCTCATATGAGGGTAGGGGTATAGATTTATTTCAGCCAACGAGAATTACGTCACTCTTATTCAACCCCGACGTATAGACTGTATTCGTGTCGGAATTAGAAATTTTAAAATTTAACTTTAACAGCAGTCAAAAAATTGATACAAAATTTATTCATTCGATGTTTCAGTCAGACGAAATGCCCGAGTCAATGTTAAGGGGAGGGTTGAAGGTATTAGCCTTAAAGGGAAGAGGTTTAATATAATTAATTAGGATATTGACCGTAAGACATCAAATTGGGGTTATATGAAGGAGTTTTATATATCAAAAATGCTAATTATATATAAAAAAAGTTAGGTTCCTACTTAAATAATAAAAAATCATACTTAAAATGTGACATATTAAAAAGATTAACAATAAATAATATTTAGATAAATTATATTAAATTTAAGTAAGAATATAATTAAAAACTTTTACATTAAAAAATAAAAAAATTTGAAGATAAAATAAATTATCTATTCTTGACTTTAAAGAAGAGTTAAATCTTAAAAATTACTTTAATAAGATATATAGATAAAGAGGTGTAAGTGATAAAAGTAAAGAGTGTTCTTAGAATGGGGGACGATTATAAGATATAAAATTAATATGCTGAAGAATATATATATATATATATATATATATATATATATATATATATATATATATATCAGAAAGGTTGAGAAAAGGGAAACTTATTTTATCCGTCGCGTTTGACCTCTGATGAAATTTATCAAGCGAAGTGTCAGGATTTTATTTTGCAACTATTTTTTTTATATACGCAAAAGTAAAAATGTTGTTAGTTTTTCAAA